CTTCCAGGAATGGGAATATCAGGGCCGGCTTTGGCTGCGGGGATGAGTTTCTGGGGGTGTGGATGGGGTCACTGAAGTTCACCTTTTGCCGCCATGGGGTACTATTTCTGAACCCCCCGACCGACCGGGCTGCAGGTGCTGTAGTCGACAAGATGACCACTTGGGAGTTGACCCGCCCTTTGCCCACATCAGGACAGAAGGCTGGTTTCTGCTTTTCGGTGCCACTGGCGTTGCAAATGTCTCCAACTGGGCAACTGGCCGCCTTCGGACGCGGCGGCAGCATACCGCACAACATCTAGACATCCAGAATCAGGTCCTGCGAAGCCATAACGTCCTGCATAGAAGTGGACGCACCTCCACGTAACGACGAGAAGGTGATATGACATGTAGCAGCCAACAACATGCAGAGACTAGACGGCAGGAAGCGATGGACGCGGCAGCACGAGATGCCACCAGACGATGTCGAGAAACCGGCTTTCAGCTGCGACGTAGCGTGCACCTGGAGATTTGTGCCAAGATCGCGCGTCCTAACAGTGATCTGCCTCTTGCCGCCATGGGGTGCCGTACCCGCACCCCCAACCCGGCAGTAGGTAGTCGACAAGATGGCCACTGGAACTGAATCGCCCTTCGCCCACTAGAAACAAGGCTGGTTTCTGCCTTTGCCGTTCAGTGTCATTGCCGGTCGCATCCTCTCCAGCTGGACAAGTGGCCGCAACAGGCGTGATTTTGCCGCGCGAGTCATCGCATCCATTCGCCGCTATGGCGGCTTGTTGCCGTGAGCCATTCTAGCCTCGGGTCTCTTACGATCTTAAGAGCCGCAAAGGCGTCATGGGCGAGCCCATGTCCACGTACGACTACCTCCATCACAACCCCGTCTTAGACCAGCTTCTGGACACATCAAAAGAACGCCGTATCCTGGTCTTTACTGTACCTGGGCCATACCGGCCGTGGCAATAACTGTAATTGGATAAACGGACAGGCCCAGAAGATGGTGTGGCTACCGTAAGTCCGTAATGCAAACGTACAGTAACGGTTAACTGCTCGCCATTGTGACGTTGCTGGCCCTACTCTGGACTTGCGTCCACATGCGTGTCCTCGGAATAGCGTGGTCACCTTCGGACGCGGCAGCAGCTTACCGCACTAGATCTGCCCATTTCGAATCATGTCCTGTGGCATAACGTCTTGCATAGAAATGGACACACCTCCACGCAACGACGTCGAGAAAGTGACATGACCTGTAGCAGCCGACGAAAAGCAGAGACTGGACGGCAGGAAGCGACGGACGCGGCAGCTCGAACGCGGCAGCAGGAGATGCCACCAGACGCTACTACTGTGATTTGCTTGTCAAGCTTTACACAATGTCGTCCATTGCCATAGTCGACAGTTACACGGCACAAACCCCTGCGACTGCGTCTCGGCACAGGCTCCACATCAGCGAGCGGCATGTCTGGAACCAGACGACGCCGTCCACATGAAGAAATTGGACGAATTAATGGCATCTTGTCCGTCTTCGCGCCCTGCATGGCGACCTTCGTCCGGGTCTGAATGTTGATGGCCCAGGCGGAGATGCGGCCACCGCCACTCCGCAATGATCTGTACGGCGGAACTGGCCGTCGCCATGCGACCACGTTGCGAAGGTGACATGTACTGAGCTGCCACACGCGACGCAAGAACTGGACGAAGTGGTTTCCCCCTACTTCGCAATGATCTGCACGGCAAGCTCTGGCTGCCGCTACGTACCAATGTCGGGAAAAAACCGACATGTACCGTAGCTGCCAACACGAAGCAGAAGAATTGGTCGGCGCACGTCCCTGCCCTTGGTAGTCTGCATGTCAGGCATCGGACGAAGCGGGTCCCGGCCGCCGCATCCACTTACTACTGTAGTTTCACGTCACTAATCGACCAAGTGAGGGAGCGGACGAAGTGAGATGCAGGCAAACGGCGCGACAAGAAGCCAACGATCGGTGGGTAACTGCCACGTGAAGAACAGGACAATCGCACGCTCTTGAAAGAGTAATCTGCATGTCGAAAACTGGACGGCGTACCCGCAGCGTCGCACAGCACATGGCCCAGGCACACCATACGCGAATCCAATCAGCGAGCAGCATGACACGAGTTGGACGACGCTTTCTACGCATGGCACGGAGTGACATGCTGCCACCTCATCTGGATGCAGCCCCAATGATATCCCCAAGGCCTGCTTTCTGACTGCGCGCGCCGCTTGACCACATCTGAACATACTTCAATGGTGTGGTCTGCTTGTCACCGCTCAACGACACCCAGAAAGCGGCGTCTGGGTCTGGCTAACTGTCCACTTACTACATGTCCATACAGAACCGGGCGCGCGTTTCCACAATGCCACAACTCGCCCCGACATGGCAACGCCGGTGTGGAATGAAAAGTTTCTACCGGACAACTGTACATGGGCCAATTCATGCTTCTCCTGGGCCGGGGATTTTGGAGCCTGCAGTATGTACCTGTTTCCGCACTTTCGGTGGTGCAAGGGCGCACTGGATATGGCCGATTGCTCCCAGACTTCCACACCACCGCAAGAGCCAGCCACATTCACATGCTCCCTTTTCTGTCCTCGGCTGGGGATGGAACATTGTCCGTAATTACTGCAAGTGCGGGCTGTCACGGCTCCAACAAGGGACAATGGTTGAAGTGGAATGTGTGCGTCACCATATGTATCAGTCCAGGAAGCGGGGCATTGCAGCAGCGAGAGTAGTCAATGAGCGGACAAGTCGTGACGAACTACATGCAATGTTCACCGTCGCAGCAGCGGCCGGTGTCCATATGTCTACATTTCAAGCCTAGCTGTACTGTAGCTCCACAAGCTGGGCCGAGTCTTGGAGCGGTGGAACAAAGAAGGCGACCTTACTTCTGGCGGCTCCTTACGGCCTTTCAGAGGGCCTTCTAGGTACTGTAGCTAGCGGATTTCAAACCTCCTACAGTATCTCATCGAGTCTCATTCTTGTTTTGCGCACGTACCGGACATCAAGTAATTGTACGTCTTGACTTACGACGGCTATGTACGTGCTGTGGAGATTTGAACAACTGTCGGGACTGGTGCGGAGCCTCACAACGTGAAATAGGTCCTCGGCTTCTGCCTGTCTAAGCAGCGCGTCGTTCCCATGCCGGATGAGGCGCTGGTCTGTGGATGCTCTGTGGTAATGGCGGTTCACAAGGAACACAAGGGCGGCGGCGGGGAAGGAGGCGTGCGGGAAGTACCTTTCCTTCGCAGTATTGGCTGCGTGTTCAGCGGCATCAAGGCCATCGATGACGTTGGGTGTGGCACTGCCCGTCAAAGAATGTCGAACAACGTCGCTGCCGAGATCGAACACGCCATCAGGCATTGTCTGACTCGTTGGCAACACGCACATAAGTTACAGTAGTTCAGGGGCTATGTTGGTCGTTTGGCCCCTGCGCCACAACGTCTATCATTGGCACGTGCCGCTTCATTTTCTCGAGCCTATATAACGGCCTCTTCCGACATATTACACTCCGAATCCTCAGCGTCTCAACAGTATCGGTGCTCAACTTTTCTTGCAACCAGACGGCTTCTGATGGATAGAACCTATGAATTCGGGGCGGTGACGCATGGTCCAAATCCTCTTTACAGGCGAACAGGTCGGTTACCCCTTCCCAGCATGGACAACGTCCTGACATATCGGCAGGAAAGACGATGCAGGATGTATCAAACGACGACGCTCCGCCGCTGTACATAGGCACAGGTCTACGGAAGAGGAGTCTGCCTTTCGAGTGGACATCCAAGAGTACAGAACAAAGTGAGGCAGACGCCTTGCGACATCTTTTTGACTCTCAAGGCTTGTGTCCAGCGGAGATAGATGGAGATTGGATCTCCTATGACAGAAAGGAGGCATCAGCACAGCCAGTGGCGAGAATATCGTTCAGTTGCGGGTGGCATGCAGAATATTCCCTGATTGGCGACGGAGCCAAAAGGGTCCTTATCGGATGATTGTAGAAAAGAAGGTACGGCAGGTTGAAACTCAGAATGTGGCTAAGTAACGCCATGACCCTGCTGTTGTGGCCATCCTCGGTAGTGGATGAGCCGCGCAAGGCAACCACAGAGGTACGGTCCACATATTGGGATTCAAATTTCGAGCCTACACAACAGCCCAGGGGGGCATTTCTCCTGGGAGCTGCTCTGCTAAGATAGATGTTGTAGTCTGGATTCTGAGTGTAGTAATGCTGAACTTGGGCGTTGACGTTGAGTCTTTCATGCAAGAAAAGTTGCACAATTTGTCTGTGGCCTTCCTTTGTGGCGACTTGGAGAGTGCTGCCGTGCCGCCAGGTCGTTGACGTCTTGACCTGAGCCGATGGGGTACATTCGTATTGCCCACGCCCAACTTTTGCGATGCGGTCTTTCTCGGTCCATCAGCTGCCTACGTACTGCCGCACTGTACCTAAACCTCACCCGTCGTGGTAGGAAAAAGAGGCATCGAAGTTTGCGAATTGATGCTACTAGCTCTGGCGGAGGGTGGCCGCGCCTTCGTCCTCGATACACCACCGATCTCGATTGCGAAAACAGCCGCACGCATCATGGCTGCAACCTATTGGCACGCGGCCGTGCAAACGGGCAGCACACGGCCGACTGCGAGCATTTATGTGTCATTGTCTGTTCTGCAGGGTACTGATGCAGCAAGCTGTTCTGGACGTGTGCTCAAGCAGCGCGACCAGTACAAAGCATTGTGGCATACTGCTGTTTACTGGAATTGTTCTGCAGCAAGGACAAAGTATCGCCTCTTCTGGGCATTGATGTTCGCGATCTGTGACCTCGTTTGCAGATAAAATACATAACACATGTAGTTCTGAAAAAGTTTATCGAGAGTCGATAGCCTGGCACATTCGGTCTATTGGGCTCCCATGTGATCTTCAATGTCTGGCGGTATGCGCCGCTGTGATCCAGCTGCTGGGGTATCTGAATCCCTGGACTATGCACGAAAGTATTTGTTGCTCGTCTCTTTATTCAGATGAGATTAACGATTCGTGTCTGCGAGGACGCAAGTTGGAGTTTTGCGTCTCTTTGACCTGGGCCAGTCGTATCTGGTGTTTGCTATTTTGCGACAAGGATCCCCTAATGGTCGCCTTAGCTGAGCCCTTGCATCTCCCTGAGTACAGTTGAACCGGCCGCTAGGCAGTGACATGGCTGATTGACGGCTCGAGGGAAGTCGAACTCCCTTATGCATCAGCACAACGCCGGACTCAGCCGGATACTGCGCCTGTGCGTTTGGAGGCTCTGCGTTTTTTCCTTGTGGATGCGGCACCAAGGGGTGCATCTTTGGTCCTGCGCCACTTACGACGAGCATCTGCAAGTCAAACATGACTTCCCGCAAGTGCCCGTACATTGACAGCTCAAGTTCTCGCGCAGTAGCCCCGTGATCTTTTCGAACCTGGCCCGGTCAGTTGTAGACTGGTTTCTGTCATAAAAAAGCTTGCGCAGGTGGCTCCATCCTCTGAGGAGCTGCAGCGGTATGGGTTCATTCGAGACAGACGGGCGTATAGATATCCACAGGAGCTTCTCAATCGACTCTAGAATGCGAAGTGCGTCCATGAACATACCACCCGTCATCCGTGAGTCTGCCAACGTGAGTACAGCGTGAGGGAGGAGCTGTGCGGAGGGCATGATGAGCGTATCACCCGGCTCCAACACAATAGCGACAACGCTATCGGGAACCCAATTTTTGCCTTCATCTGTGAACTTGACCATCTCGGATTCGTTCGTGTCTGTAGCGAAAATCCAAAGCTTCAGGCCCCACTCAAGACATACCCATGTTGCATCTGGGCTATCGACGTGGAATCCGGTAAAAGCACCTCGCTGGGCGAATAGCGAAAAGGTCAAGGAGCGGTCCAGGTCGACTTCTCTGGCCTCGACCATCACGGCGTGGCCCCGTTTGCCGGCGATCGCTCGTCCGGTAAACTCCGCCTCTAGACGTGAGCTGATTGCCGGAAGGACATCGAACCGACGCAGATTGAGGAATGCAGGAGCCGGTGGGACTTGTCCCAGATACTTCAAGTTCAGCAGGTTTATCGGAAGTCGCCCTGCCGGAATGTCCGCCCCTTCTCTGATTCGGTCAATAACGTCGCAGACATGTGAGGAGACGGCGGATTTCTTTCTAGTACTTGGGTCTTGTACGTCCACCTTGCTATCGCCAAAATGATCGTTCAGAGCCTCTAAGAAGTGATCCAGTCCCTGGCCTCGTTGTCCTAATTGACGTGATCTCACCACCGTGGGTTTGTGCAAGATGAAGTTTTGAGCCATGATTTTCTCTATGTCGTCTTCTGTAGCGTACCAGACGTCTGCGTCGTCCGCCATTGTTGATATGGGCCCGATTCGCGCGATCGGTATGTCGCGATCAGAAGGGAAGATCCGGTTTAGGAGCGTCAAGCTATTTTCCCACCTTGTATGGCCGAGTTGAGAATTTTTTGAGTTCCGGCATTCTCGAAGCAAATCTTGAATCATGGAACCATACTTGGTGCGCATTTGGACCGTCTCAATGCTCTCGCGAGGCATTCTGGGCTCGTATGTCCTCTGTGTCGATGCCGCCGCCGCAGCACCTGCGTGCTCCCGGTCAAGTGAAGGAACCAGCATGTAAGAAACGTGCTTAGTGCTGTGCTCGTGCTCTTTCTTGCCGGTGGAGATGAATATTCGATCGCACTCGGTGCATCTATAGTGCTCTGATTTGTGATGTCTTTTCATCCTGTCACGTTGGAGAGCCAACCCGCACCCGAGCTCACACTCCACCTTCTCACGATAACGAGCCTGTCTCTTTGTCCACGTGCTCACTTTTTCACCGTCACGGCCTGTCGTGTTGTGGTGGTTCAGCCACGCCTCGCCAACGAAGATAGTTTCGCAGCAACGAACGTGTGCCTTCTTCCGATGACTTCTGTGGCCACTTGCTGTGTAGAGTTGCCCACAAATGCAGAGCACGGATTCCATGATAGCAAGCTCCGATCTCGTATGCTTGGTCAGGAGGAGACTCGCAAGTCCTGGACGGCGTCGCTGGTCGCGCGAGGGGCTTGAGATTACGTGGGCTTCAATGAGCGTTGCGTGGGCGTGGCGCGGAAAGGGGAGCGTTGCACGGAAGGGAAAATGTTGCGTGGAAGGGAAAGCGTTGCGCGGAAGGGAAAATGTTGCGCGGAAGGGAAAACGTTGCGTGGAAGGGAAAATGTTGCGCGGAAGGGAAAGCGCTGCGTGGAAGGGGGAGCGTTGCGTGGAAGGGGGAGCGTTGCGCGGAAGGGAAAATGTTGCGCGGAAGGGAAAGCGTTGCGTGGAAGGGAAAGCGTTGCGCGGAAGGGAAAACGTTGCGTTGCCTGGGAGATGCGGGTCCAAGCCACTTCGTGCGCCTTGGGCTATGGCCCGTGAGCTTCAGGTGTGATTAGCGCCTGTTTAGTGCGCCGTATGCCACCACCCCGCCAGCATGCGTGTCGAGGACCCATCAGAGGCAGCACATTATCTCCCTGACATGGCCGGTGCTTCGCGTGCAGGCATGTCCTGGACCTGGCCGAACTCGTACATGTGAGGTCAGCTCCGTCATTGGCGCATGTTGCGGAGTGGGAGCATCCAGTCCCGGGAGAGCCTGGACCACATGCAGCAGCGCCCGTCTGATATGCCGCCGCGGATCTATCATGGCGGCGTGACCTGCATGACTGCGTCAGGGCTCGGCGATGCCTTGCCGCCTTTGTGACATTGGAAATCCAGGCCGTATTCGCGCTTGGGAAAGGCCACCGTAGGCATGGCGCGTTCCCTTGGACGATCTTACATTAATCAACGCTGGGTCCGGTTCATTCTCCGCTGACACCTGGAGTGCTGTGCCTGGATGTGGAAGTCCCCTGGAACCAAGCCCGAGCCAATGGATCTGTTTCATCAGGACTGCATCATATATGACGCTTCCCTAGGCGACTGCAACTTATCCGCTCAGTACAGCCAGGCAGCGGGGCCCAGGCCGTATGGATCGGCAAGCCATCACCGCGAGTTCAGTGGTATGTCGGGCCGTGAATTGTGGTACAAGTATACTGGAAATAGTTTACCATTTATTCACTAGGCAAGTGGCCTGCCTTTCGGACAGTCGTGGTGCGCGGTTGCGGTTCTTTTGGCTTATGCCGTTGGGCCCGATTTCAACTGGTGACCATCAATCCACATGGACGGGAAGATAGGCTGCCGTACGTAGGCGATATCATCAGCCTGCAACTCAGAGAGGCGAAGGGAAAAGACGAATATCTCAAAAACTTCTATTGTTAACTATCGTGCCGCTGATCATGACGCGTTTGAGGCGCAGCCAAGCAACCGGAAGGGAGCGGGACATGCCACCGGTTTCCTGAACCACATCAAACATGAAACACTCCACTACGACAGGTTCCTGAGCCACGTCCCTCGCTGCTTCAACCCAATAATGACAAGGTTCAGTCATGGCCAAAGGGACTGATTAGTATCTTTGCGCCTGCCCAATCGGCAAGATCGGATTCCGTAGCAATACACTCGACGGTTGTCCCCCGACTTGATACTGCCCGGGTTGTGCGCCGCCAAAGCATCAACATGCAAAACTGTTATGCCGGTCAAGACCAGGCGGTGGGCCGGTGCGTCGGAGAAGCCAACTTGGGCTCCGCCTACTTCGCATCCGCTGCTCGAGGTCCAAGCACGATGGCTTACAGAGGCAGTACGCAGGTTCCGTGACCCCTTGTCAGACCTGATGATGGAGACATGTGTTCTCGCAAGAACATGCTAATGGATCTCGGCAACTGTGACTGTCACTTAATTCATGACGATTTTCAAGGAGTTCTTGCTCCTCCGATAATTCTCATCAATCGACTATGCTAAAGATGGACACCGTGGGTCAGATTGTGTCGTAGCTATCGCGCCGTGGTGAAAGAGTAGGCATCTCCGTCACGACGTGGCCTGCGTCTCCGGCTACCCGCCGCAAACTTGGCGGCGATCGGTGCCGTTAATTCGTTTAGATTTAAGGATAGCCTTGGGTATGCGCTGCAGAGACCGAAAACCCCTCCTGCTCCGTCAACGCTTCGTCATTATAACCCCATGGAGCCTAAGAACTGCTCATAAGGCCAACCTTTGCCCTTCGAGTTTTTGTAGCCTGTCGATTTCTCGTGAGCGCAACTTTCGAGGATCTGCGACCTGGATTGGAACTATCTTCCGCTCTATGGCCTTGCGGCTGATTGAATTCCCGTCGCCAAAATTGGGTGGCGCTCAGCGCCGTGGTGAAAAAGAGAGAAAATTGCACGTACACGCGCCAGTCTTGCGGCCAAGCGCACGCGTGCTTACTGGGTGAAGTTGAGACCAGTTGAGCCAGAGCCGAGAGTGGTGATCAGGTCGTTCTCCTTGGTGGTTTTGGTCTGGATATCGTCGGGGAGATAGTAGGCGTTGTTGCAAGGGAAGACCTCGCAGCCAGACATGGGGGCCTGGGCGCTCTTGGGCCACATCTGCTTGACATTGTCCTGGTCCTTGGGGTCGACGATTGCAGAGACATCGAAGTATGTAAGGCCGCCCCAGCTGCCGAAGTTGATCTCCCCGAGCATGCCGGGCTTGTTTTCGGCGCCGTCCTGGACGGCGTAGAAGTTGCCAACCCACACATCGGGGAACTCAACCGTCTTCTTCTTGGCGTTACTGACTGTGACGGAAGGGATCGTGGAAGAGCCAGAGCCCTCGTTAGCGGTGAAGTAGATGGTGCGGGTCTTGTTGTCCAGGGTCCAGAAGGTGACGCTGGCGGCGTTGGCAACGGCCGATGTGGCAGCAAGGGCCAGAGCAGACGCAGCGAGATGCATTTTGAATGGTTGGTTTGGGGAGGTGGGAAGGACTGTGGTCTCGAGTGTATGTGCTCAAGCGACGTCAAGAAGAGACTGGATACCGGTCAGACGGGCCGTAGCCGCTGTAAGTACTCGTTGCCTTCAAGGAATGAAGAAGCGTAAGGGCTTGGATGAAGGAATGATAGTCTGAAGCCAGAGAAAGACTGGTGGGACAGAATGAAAGTTTCTGAAGAGGAGATCCATCGTGTCGCGGAGGAAGGGCAGGGCCGCCTTATAACGTTGCCGCCCCCTTGGGCAGATGGCGTGGCACGGACACAACTGCACAAGAAATTGCATCGTGGGTCACTAGGAGCAGAGGCAGTTCGAGAACCCGCACGAAGGGTGCAATCAAAGACTGGATCAACATGGTACCTGATCCGCGGCCGGCACCAGCACCCAGTAGCAGGGCATCGAGGGCGCAGAGTCTGCAATTCCAATCCCCCCATGCGCCGTGTTGGCAGGCAGCGGGGCCACCGAAAACCCCGGCGGGCTGTGGCGGCCGTATAACCTTGGCAAGTGTCCAATTATGCCCCTCCAGAACCAGCGATGATGACGCGGCCAGGAGGGTCCGCCGCACAAGGTACCTCAGAGCGTTGACACAACGTTGCTACAAGCCCTGGCTTCTAGTGCCACAGGAACAAGATATAGACTCTGTACATTCACTCTAGACATAGCATGATGTAGTACCCGTGCCACGCCCCACTTTATTGGCACTCGCGAACTCGCACCACCTAAAGGTGGTGCTGACCACCAAACTTTGAACACCATCAAAATTTGAACACTTCAGCACGCACGGTATTCAACCATCGCCACTGCGCTAAGCCCAACATCTCAAAGTCAATAAACCATGGAATCGCGACT